GCTGCTGTTTAGCCGCTTGACTCAACGTTGCCCTGAATTATTAACTCCACTTTCTATCTGCCTGGTTGGGCTTGCCTGGTAGCCCACTAATAGATGCCTTTTAATTTGTGTCTGTCTCAACTCCGGGAGGATGAAGTTTCTCATTTTGGACAACGGGAAACCCCAGCTTTCCAAAAGGATGCTGGCTCCCTCTTGTGGAGCATCCTCCAGCTGCAGCCCTGAAGAGGAAAAGGGCTGCCGCGGCGGACGTTGGAAGCTGCCTCATAACACAACTCAGATGGTACCTCAGTATTGTCTACACTGACAGGCAGAAGCTCTGCAGGGTTTCAGGCAGGGGTTTCTCCCAGCCTCACGCTGGGATGTCAGGGACCGGGCTTAGGATGTTCTGCGTGCAAAGCAGATGCTGTTGTTTAGTCATTTAGTTGTGTCCGCCTCTTCGTGACCCCCTGGACCAGAGCACGCCAGGCACTCCTGTCTTCCACTGCCTCCCGCAGTTTGGTCAAACTCATGCTGGTAGCTTCGAGAACACTGTCCCACCATCTCGTCCTCTGCCATCCCCTTCTCCTTGCGCCCTCCATCTTTCCCAACATCAGGGTCTTTTCCAGTGAGTCTTCTCTTCTCATGAGGTGGCCAAAGTCTTGGAGCCTCAGCTTCAGGATCTGTCCTTCCAGTGAGCACTCAGGGCTGATTTTCTTCAGAATGGAGAGGTTTGATCTTCTTGCAGTCCATGGGACTCTCAAGAGTCTCCTCCAGCACCAGAATTCAAAAGCATCCATCAGCTTTCTTTATGGTCCAGCTCTCACTTCCATACATCACTACTGGGAAAACCAGAGCTTTAACTAAACGGGCCTTTGTTGGCAAGGTGATGCCAAGATGCTCTGTCGGTAAGTGGTGGGACTTCCCCCAAAAACAACGCAAGATTCCAGTCCTCATGGTTCCAGACAAAGGGCTGGTTTACAGAAGTTGCCTTCTACAGTCCTTCAATGGCTGCGCTCGTTTCTCTCCGGTCGGGGACAGAGGGTGGCGCTTGGGGGGGGAATTGTCATCCCGCCACTCCTTGGTGTGTGGAGTGCCTCAGGGTGCGATACTCTCCCCGATGCTTTTTAACATCTTTATGCGCACCGCCCAGCTTGTCCGGAGTTTTGGGCTGGGTTGCCATCAGTATGCCGATGACACCCAACTCTATCTGTTGATGGATGGCCATCCTGACTCGGCCCCAGACACACTGACCAGATGTTTGGAAGCTGTGGCTGGATGGTTACGCGGAAGCCGGTTGAAGTTAAATCCTTCGAAGACAGAGGTCCTCTGGCTGGGACGGGACGATATGGGATTGGGGGGGCAACTCCCATCTCTTGCGGGGTGCAATTAGTGCCAGCACCGTCCGTTAAGAGTTTGGGTGTAATCTTCGATACCTCCCTCTCGATGAAGGCGCAGATTACAGCTATAACAAAGGCGGCATTTCTTCATCTCCGCCAAGCTAAGCAGTTGGCCCCTTATCTCTCTCGCCCTGACCTAGCCACTGTGATCCACGCGACGGTCACCTCCAGACTGGATTATTGTAACTCGCTCTACGTGGGGCTGCCCTTGAGACTGACCCAGAAACTCCAGCGGGTGCAGAATGCCGCGGCGAGACTCCTTATGGGGTCTTCGCTGCGAGATCACATTCATCCGGTACTATACCAGCTGCACTGGCTCCCGGTGGAGTACAGGATCAGGTTTAAGGTGCTGGTTTTAACCTTTAAAGCCCTATACGGCCTAGGACCCTCGTACCTACGGGACCGCCTCTCCTGGTATGCCCCACAGAGGAACCTACGGTCTGCAAATAAAAACATCCTGAAGGTCCCAGGCCTCAGAGAAGTTAGGCTGGCCTCAACTAGAGCCAGGGCTTTCTCGGCTGCGGCTCCAATCTGGTGGAACGCTCTGTCACAAGAGACTAGGGCCCTGCGGGACCTGACATCTTTCCGCAGGGCCTGCAAGACAGAGTTGTTCCACCAGGCCTTTGGTCAGGGCCCAGCCTGACTCCCACCTCCGGCAACCTGCACAGAACTTTGCTTAACGGTTGCCATTAATTTGATTTTAATTAATTTTATAATGAAATGTTAGAATGTTGGATTATTTGATTGTTTGATTATTTGTTTGTTGTTAGCCGCCCTGAGCCTGGCTTTGGCTGGGGAGGGCGGGATATAAATAAAATTTATTATTATTATTATTATTACTGAGTCAGGCCATTGGTCCATCGATCTCAGAATTGCCTACACTCACTAGCAGTTGTTCCCTGGGGTTTCAGGCACCTCTATCTAGAGATGACAGGGACTGAACCTGGGACCAACAGCTACAGCTGTTCCTTTGATGAAATTTCATTGAACCTTTTAAATTAAAAAATAAAATAAAATTGGGAGCACGCTTCCTGGTTACACAAGGCAAAATCAGTAAACATCAGGCAAATTTCGCTAGGTGGATGTTTAGCTACACATGCCTGCTGTATCGTAAGGAGAACTTGTATTTGTATGTGTCAGGGAACTGCAGGCAGCGAGGGAGGAAAGAATTAGAGGATATAGGGAACGATCTCCACTGCTCAGTACTGAGTCCTCCTCAGAAGACAGAGAAGAGGATAGTGAGTCTGGGGAGGAAAAGGTGCTTCAGAGAGAGGGGGATCCACGTCACAGGGGAAAACGGAAGGGGCTGAGCCGTTGGCTCTGTTGGTCTCGAGGGAGAGGGAAAAGAGAAAGTAGTTAGAGCAACGCGTCATGAGAGACGGGTCGCTTTGTTTATTCTGCATGTAATCTTGTCAGAAGAAAATAAAGAAAGGAATTTATGGCTGGCTGCCGGGAGTGTTTTTTTGCTAAGTGCAGCAACGCATGCAGCTGGCAAGCTGACAGTATGTTTGCAAGTTGACGTTGTTATACTGGGCAAACCTCCCTCAAATAGCAAACTCGGCTGTTCAGCACTGACAGAACTGGAGGCAAAATAGGGCCAGTGGGGAACTAGAGGAAAGTACAGTGGTACCTTGGGTTACACACGCTTCAGGTTACATATGCTTCAGGTTACAGATTCCGCTAACCCAGAAATAGTGTTTCAGGTTAAGAACTTTGCTTCAGGATGAAAAAGTGATCTGTGCAGGAGGCACGTTCGCAACCCGCAGCGTTCGCAACCTGCAACGGTGCATCTGCGCACGCATGGGTTGCGATTTAGTGCTTCTGCGCATGCACAACCGCTTAAACTCAGAAGTAACCTGTTCCAGTACTTCCAAGTTTCGGCGCATCCATAACCCGAAAAAATGCAACCTGAAGCGTCTGTAACCCGAGGTATGACTGTATTCTGAAAGAGGGAGGAAAACTTCTCTCTGCCCACTGTCACCATACCATGTACAGTGGTACCTCGGGTTACATATGCTTCAGGTTACAGACTCCGCTAACCCAGAAATAGTGCTTCAGGTTAAGAACTTTGATTCAGGATGAGAACAGAAATCGTGCTCCGGCGGCATGGCAGCAGCAGGAGGCCCCATTAGCGAAAGTGGTGCTTCAGGTTAAGAACAGTTTCAGGTTAAGAACGGACCTCCGGAATGAATTAAGTACTTAACCCGAGGTACTTTATTGGTGTTTGGGGCACTGCCCCACCAACTTCAGTTTGTCCTCAGCCCCTGCGTGATTTCCTGCTTACACCCAGCCCAGGGGGTGGCCTTGCCTGCCAGCTTCCTCCACCCGAGTCTCATTGGTGTCCTTGTAGAACTCAGCAAGGAGGACGGGCACAAAAGTAGAATTAGTTGGCTCTGCCTGTCATTGGCTCTGGCGCCCCCTGCTGTTGGTCTCCTGGCCATCTCCCCTACCAGTTGCAACAAACACAAACCAATACTTATGCATTGTTGTCTTATCTCCATAGCCACGTTTCCAAATGCACAGGCAGCTCACTACTTGTAACATTTTCCCAGCCTCTAGAGAATAGTGACTCGTGCTGAGAGGCAACCAATACCCTCCTCTGAGGGCCACTAAACACAGCATCTCTGAATCAGAACTGACACATGCAGATGGATGTATCCAGCCTGGGAGGGACCAAGGCTAGAATGAGAAAATCACACAGAGACACAGCAAGCAGCCTCCTCTCTCTCTCAGAAGCTGCTTTGAACCTGAACTGCTTTGGGGTGGGGTTCTGTACTAATCATTCATTTCAGGGTTCTTGAATCATCCCAAATCAAGATCCGCGATGTAAAGATGCTTGAACGGTTTCTTTTGGGGCGTTCTTTGGAGGTGTATATTAATGGATTATGCCAGGGGTCAGCAACCTTTTTCTGCCGTGGGCCAGTCCACCGTCCCTCAGACCATGTGGTGGGCCAGACTATAGTTTTTTTGGGGGGGGGAATGAACGAATTCCTATGCCCCACAAATAACCCAGAGATACATTTTAAATAAAAGCACACATTCTACTCAGGTAAAAATACCAGGCAGGCCCCACAAATAAACCAGAGGTTATTCCAACAAACTCGACCTGCTCAGAGGACAAGCCCTCTGTCCACCCTCAGATCCACTTTGGCCTGAGCTCTTTTTATTTTTTAAACCACTAATTCTGCTGCCTGGAAACGAACACTCTGCACAGGCTCCGAGGCACCTTCACCCGATGTCAGGCACTCTGTAAATTCTAAGTAGCATTTGGCCAAAAAGTATTTTGTTAACTAGCACTCTGCACATGCACAGAGAGATTTTGTCAGGGGAAAAAATCTCGTCCTTGGGGGCAGGCGAATAAACACTCTGCGCATGCTCAGGCACCTCTTTCCTCAGGCGCCCGTTGGTTTTCCAATCCACTCTTACGACTTGATTGGCTCTCTTGCCAATTGATCCCTCCCGAGGTCATAACCGGCCGCTCCCTCATTGGCCCAACGAGCCCCTTCGCTTATTTCTATTGGCTACAGAAGATGCCCGTCTAATTCGAACGTCTCGCCTCCCGCTCGTTTTCCCCCCTCCCTTTTCTTTCGGCTGTCCTGTCACTCGTCGGACAAAGCCGCACCCGATTGGTCGGCTGAGACGCCGCCCGCCACCTGGGACTCGGCTCCTGATTGGGCCGGAGGTCCGCCGCTCACGTAAGAGCGGGGATGGGGCGGGGCCAATCTTTAGAAAGGGGGCGGTGGAGGCGGCGGCCATTTTGGCTCTGCTGTGGAAGAGACGGGAGAGAGCGGCGAAGAGGGCGCCGGAGCAGGAGCGCCGGCCTCGCCTGGCCCCAGCGCCTCACCGTCTCGCCCGCCTGCCTCTAAGCCCAAGGCCCCGTCATGTCTGACACGCTTGGCGGCGGCGGCGACGCCCGTTCTGACGAGACGGGCGAGGAGAAACAGGTGAGGTCGGGGAGGGGGAGCGAGGGAGAGCTCTGTCTCTGGTGTGTGGGTCTGAGTCCTGATTGGTCCGCTGGCTCTCGAAGCGGCTTCCGATTGGTCGCTCCCGAGCAGTGCTCGGCTCTCATTGGTTGGCGCCTTCCAGGCAGGTGCCCTTTCCGGCATTGGAGGCCGTTGGAACCATAGAGATTCATTCTGAACTTCCGGCTTTTTTCAGCAACACCCCCCCCACCACCTGGATTCTCTCTCGTTTTGGCATCTCTGGGGTTAAAAAGCCGCTATTTTTAATTATGCATTTAAAAATGCATAGTTGACATTGGAAAGGGAAGAGGGGATTTGTCCGTTGCTGGGAGCGCGTTCCCGTTAAGTCGACCAAAATGTCACAAAACTGTGCAAGCTTTTGGGTTTCCCAGAGCTCTTCGTGAGCGTGCAAGCTTTTGTGAAATGCAGGCCTCTTCCTATGGCTCTCCCGCTGAGGAGATTTGAGGGGCTTCGCTTGCACCCTATTTTGTAACATTTTGACTGGCCTTGTTGTTTAGTCGTTTAGTCGTGTCCGCCTCTTCGTGACCCCCTGGACCAGAGCACGCCAGGCACTCCTGTCTTCCACTGCCTCCCGCAGTTTGGTCAAACTCATGCTGGTAGCTTCGAGAACACTGTCCAACCATCTCGTCCTCCGTTGTCCCCTTCTCCTTGTGCCCTCCATCTTTCCCAACATCAGGGTCTTTTCCAGGGAGTCTTCTCTTCTTGGCTGGCCTACTAAAAGTAAATGGAAACGCGGGTGGCGCTGTGGGTTAAACCACAAAGCCTAGGACTTGCCAATCAGAAGGTCGGCGGGTTGAATCCCTGCGACGGGGTGAGCTCCCGTTGCTCGGTCCCTGCTCCTGCCAACCTAGCAGTTTGAAAGCACGAAGTGCGAGTAGATAAACAGGTACCACTCCAGCGGGAAGGTAAACGGCATTTCCGTGTGCTGCTCTGGTTCGCCAGAAGCTGTTTAGTCGAGCCGGCCACATGACCCGGAAAAACTGTCTGCGGACAAACACCGGCTCCCTCAGCCAGTAAAGTGAGATGAGCGCCGCAACCCCAGAGTCAGCCACGACTGGACATAATGGTCAGGGGTACCTTTACCTTTACTAAAAGTAATGTTCACATGTGAGTAAGGAGCTCAGGAAAACTTTTGATGCTCTGTTTAGCTTGGCATTGCCTTAAATATGCATTTTGACTGATTTTACATTTGAGTGGAAATCTAGTTCCATTTGAAACCAGAAGAACATAAGAGGAGCCTTGCTGGATCAGGCTGAGGACCCATCTAGTCCAGCATCCCCTTCCTACATTGGTTAACCAAATGCCTGTTACGGGATACCCACAAGCAGGGCTTGAGCACAAGAGCAACTCTCTCTTCCCTCCCATGGTTCCCAGGAACTTGTCTTCAGAAGCATTGCTGCATCTGAGTGAAGGCAGAGCCTTGCCATCATGGCTAGTAGCCACTAATATAGCCTTATCTTCCATAAGTTTCACTAAGGACTGGGATGGTGAGTGACTAGCGTTTTAAAAGAAATCCTTAGCTCTGCATCTTGAAAAATGGGAATTGCTTCAGCTCTTACAGTACAGAATCATGGGATAAAAATTCCATGCTCTGAAACTGTGGGCTCGGATCATTGAGGGGGGACATGTTGGAGCTAGGAACTGAAGAAGGGGAAGAACTATAAAGCCGGTTTTCAACCTTAGATGCTAGGAAACTGTGTGATACCCATTGGAAGACATGCTTCCTGTGAATTTATGCTACAACTGACCAATCTTACTAGGACTGTGTTGCACGGCTACTGTGCCAATGCTGGTGGGTGTGAAATAGAATGGTGAGGCTTGTGGGACCTGTCACTCATCATAGAACAGGAGTGGAAAACATCCAGGTATTCTCAGAACAACCCCCATTATCCCTGCCAATTGACCATGTTGGCTGCTGGGAGTTGGAGTTCAAAACATCTGGAAGATGTCAGGTTGAGAGAGGCTGCCCCATATGCTTTTAAGACTGGGGCCTGGACAATTCAAAATCCCATTCAGCCTTGAAGCTCACTGAGTGACCTTGGACCAGTCCCTTTCTTTCAGCCTAACTTAGTTCACAGGTCTGTTTAGGATAAAATGAGGAGAGGAGGACCATGTAGACACCTTGTACTCCTTGGAGGAGAAAGGGTGGCATAGAAGTACAGTCAATAAATAAATAGCTGGTGGAGCTCAGATAAAATCAGCCCTTCATATTTCCAGACAAGATTTCTCTCCTCCCCTTGCTCAAAATAATGTGGTTTCAAAATTAGCAAAGAGAACATAAAAGTTCTGGGTATATCAGGAAGTAGGGCCACTACACATCTGGATTTTCTCTGACATTACTGGGATTTCATAGGTGGAATTGACGTCTGCGGGGAATTTCCAATCGGGAACGATAATGAGATCAAATCCTTTGTGGTTCCAAGACAGTACATTTTCTGATATTTTACAATGGATATTTACAAGCAGGAACATGTCAGGAGAAGGGTAACAAAGTTGGCATGGGACTTGTAGATCAAAATCCTATGAGGAAATGTAGAGGTGGAGTGGTTGGCCACGTTTAGCCTGGAGAATGCACCATTGAGAAACACTACGGTAGCCATTTTCAAGCATTTAAAGGGACAAGTCCTAGAAGATGCAGCAAATTCATTTTCTGTTGCTCCAGGAAGGTAGTATCCCAGCAGGTTCAGAAAGAGGTTTTGACTGAACAAAGTACTTCCTGGTGGAATGAGCTGTTCGATGGCAGATCAGTTTGCTTCAGACTTTGGTAGGCTCTTACTCATTGGTGACTTATTTAGATGCTGGGTGACCATCTATTAGGGCTATTACTGAGGGCTCCTTCCAATACAGCTGCATCATTCGGAGTCCGAGACCATTGATCTGGGATGGCCTGCAATGTCTAATGTGCCTGGCCGTCACCCATCAAGGTCTGTGGCAGAAATCTTTAACTAACAGCCCTGTGAGCTGGAGATTCAACCTGGGGGCTTTAGTGAGTCAATCATGCACTCTACCCCTAAGCTCTAGGTCCCTCTTTCTGCTTGTCACAGTTGGAGGTAGGATGCTGGGGCTCAGACAAGCAGCTTGTCTGAGAGTATGCAAAGGAGTCTCTTGACAAAGCTGGAACAAGTCACCCATTTGAACCTGGCCCCTCTCATTTTCAGCCGAGGACCCCTTTTCATCCTTATGCGGTTAATTGGGATTTCTGCCTCCAAAGCCAGCCAGCCAGAGCTGAAGGGTGTGTGTGATCTCCCACCTGATGGGGCACATCAAGCTTGGGTTACTGGTTGCCCCAAATAAACGGCTCAGGACCGATGTCTCTGCCAAGCTCAGATTGGCATGGGGGAAAGCTTTAGCAGAGCGACAGAATTTTAGGAAGCAAGAATCACCGGTGGGGCATCCAGTTTGGCATCGCCCAGATAAGTGATGTCTGTTGATCTCTGTTGACATGATTTTGCAGGGCTCTGCAAACATAATTGGGTTGGCTTGGGTGAGATCTAGGTTCTGTCACACTTGGTTTGTGTGTTGCTGCTTTTTGAAGAAGAACAATATTTATCAAGCTGAGGGTCTTGATGCTGTAAAGGTAAAGGACCCCCGACAGTTAAGTCCAGTCGCAAATGACTCTGGGGTTGCGGCGCTCATCTCACTTTACTGGCCGAGGGAGCCGACATTTGTCCACAGACAGTTTTTCCAGGTCGTGTGGCCAGCATGACTACGCCGCTTCTGGCAAAACCAGAGCAGCACATGGAAACGCCATTTGCCTTCCCGCCGGAGTGGTACTTATTTATCTACTTGCACTTTTTGGGGTGCTTTCAAACTGCTAGGTTGGCAGGAGCAGGGACCGAGCAACGGGAGCTCACCTTGTTGCAGGGATTTGAACCGCCGACCTTCTGTTCGGCAAGCCCTAGGCTCAGTGGTTTAGACCACAGCGCCACCCTCGTCCCCTTGATCCTGTACCTTCCTCTTAATTGTGATGGGATTTTTGAGTTCGTGGAGAAGCTTGAAAAAGTCCCAAGTTCTTCTCCTGAAGACATCCTGCAAGGCAGTGGAGGTTTAGGATCAGAGTTTTCCTTCTAGATGGACTCCTTCCACAGGCTGATGAGCCGCACCTGCCCCTCACTTCCCTCTACAGCGCAAGCAGAAACTGGCTTCTTGGCATTCGGACCCACTATTGGTCTTGCTGGCTAAGTCTTTCAGAGCCTGTATTCACATGCAGGGGAAGTCCCTAACTCACAGAGGGTTTGAGACCCATCGGCTACCCTCACCTCACCTGGTTTAGCTGGGCGGTTGAAGTTGCTTCCTGGGGTGTGGCCTCTGTCACATGCCGACAGCTTCTTGGAGCAATAGATAAGCTGAGTGCAGGGTGGGGACCGCCAAAGGTGAACAACCTACCCCAGAAGGAACATGTGTCCCCCAGCCAGAGGTACCGCCCCTCCCCTAGCACAGCTGTTCTTGTACTGTCTTTTACATTATTATTATTGTTATTACAGTGGACGCTCAGGTTGCGAACGTGATCTGTGTGGGATGCACGTTCGCAACCTGTAGCATTTGCAACGCGTGGGTTGCGATTCGGTTCTTCTGCGCATGTGCAACGCTCGATTTAGCGCTTCTGTGCATGTGCGACTGCTGAAACCCGGAAGTAACCCGTTCCAGTACTTCCGGGTTTTGGCAGTCCGCAACCCGAAAAAACGCAACCTGAAGCGGACGCAACATGAGGTATGACTGTACTACTGTATCAATTTATTTTTCTGTTTACACAATAACATCATTACCAACTCTCCCTGCAGTACACAGACAGCATTAAAGAAAAGTGCATTGGAAACAGGACTTGGAGTGACGCTGTGTTCTTATGTTCTTTTTTTAAAAAAGGAATCTTTTGTCAGCTTGAATCTGAGTCACAGAAGCTGCAATCCAAGGAGCAGAATTAGCTGCAGATTTGTTTATAATGCATCTATACTAGCCGCTACACCCAGTTCAAAAGTGGGAAGGCAGCAGCCCTGCCCTGGGGGCTTAGTACTGAATGCTGTGCTGACGCACATCGCCCCCCCCCCACCCCCGAGCGGAGGATCGCTTGCTGCACTGACATAACAGTACCAAAAGCCATTCTCCCTCATCCCACATAATTCCTCCACACAAGTATTATTTTCGCCCCTTGTTTTGCCTTTCCTGAGTCATCCACTTATTGTGAACGCTGCCCACAGAATCTGCTCTTAGCTACCGCCTGGCAATTTAACCATTCAAGCGTTCTGTCTTTCCCAGAGATGGAGTGTTTGCTTCCTCCTAATGCACAAGATAAAGAGGCTTTTTTTTTAATAAAAAAAGATAGTACAGAGCCTTCATAGAATTATAAAACTGTAGAGTTGGAAGCAGGCCACATGTGCAGGAATTATAGTTAATAATCCCTGATGGGTGGTCATCTAGCCTGTGCTTAAAAACCTCCAATGAATGTAAGTTTTTCATCTTCCCAGGCAGTCCGCTCCGCTATCAAGCAGCTCTGTCAGAAAGTTATTCCTGTGGAGATATCATTCACATATTTCATGATGGGCTTAAAAAAAAACAAAATAGCTGTGAAGGCCCGTCACCATTGGCTGAAATGCTGTGATGTCATGGAGTGCATCTGTTGGGCACAGGACATTGACAGGCCATGAGGAGAGCGAATTGTCATTTTGATGCGGCCGGGCAGGGGCAGTGGAGAAATAGGAGTTCCTTAAAAGTAAATAAAAGAAAGTAAATAAAAGTAAAGGTGTGCAGCTGTTGACTTGAGAGAAGGAAGGTTAAGTAAGGCAGGTGCCTGAGGAAAGAGTGAGAGGAAGGCATGTAAAGGTGGGGTGGAGGAAGAACCGAACACAGGCCCCAGGCCTGGGAGGGCCTGTTGGTGGGAAGCTGTGTAAACAGGGATAGGGGTGTGTTGAACTGACATATGGATTAGTCTTGAGGGATAGACCTCTTGGCTGTGAGTTCTCTTGTTCGAACATTAAAATGATGAACTAAAACCTTGCCAACAAAGGTCCGTATAGTTAAAGCTATGGTTTTCCCAGTAGTGATGTATGGAAGTGAAAGCTGGACCATAAAGAAGGTGATGGCCGAAGAATTGTTGCTTTTGAATTATGGTGCTGGAGGAGACTCTGGAGAGTCCCATGGACTGCAAGAAGATCCAACCTCTCCATTCTGAAGGAAATCAGCCCTGAGGTGCTCCCTGGAAGGACAGATCCTGAAGCTGAGGCTCCAAGACTTTGGCCACCTCATGAGAAGAGAAGACTCTGGAAAAGACCCTGATGTTGGGAAAGATGGAGGGCACAAGGAGAAGGGGACGGCAGAGGACGAGATGGTGGGACAGTGTTCTCGAAGCTACCAGCATGAGTTTGACCAAACTGCGGGAGGCAGTGGAAGACAGGAGTGCCTGGCGTGCTCTGGTCCAGGGGGTCACGAAGAGGTGGACACAACTAAACGACTAAACAACAACAAAGCACCACAAAAGCAGGACTTTTGACTCTGCCTGCTCAGTGAGGGTTTAATGGCCGGTGATGGGATCTGAACTCTGACCCAGTGCTCCTTCCAGTGATCTCTGCTAGGAAGTGTGTGTCAGGAGAGCCTGAGGTGGCCTTCCAAAGTTTTGCTGAGCTCCGACAGTCAAGTGTGGTTTTCCAACTTGGCAGCAGAGGCCCTTGAGCTGAGCTCAGCAGCTTCCAGCACCGGGTGTGGAGGCTCCCAGCAAAGAGAGAAGGGAACTCTCTTCCTGCAGACTTCTTCCCATGAGGATGAGCAAGAGAATGACTGGGATGAAAGCATGGGACCTCTCAGAAATGCTTCTTAAGCAGTAAATAACAAGTGGCACCTTGAGGACTAGAAACTTGGGTTGATTTGTTTTTTTAACAGGTTCTTCTTCCTTCAAAAAGCCACACACCTGGCCTTGTGTTGCAGCAATATAATATCCGTTGCCAAGGTTTGTGGATCCCACCTCCCTTGCATCAGTCGTTCGGGAGGTCGGTCTAGAATCATAGAATCGTAGAGTTGGAAGGGACCCAAAGGTCATCTAGTCCAACCCCCTGCAATGCGGGAATCTCAGCTAAAGCATCCATGACAGGTGGCCATTCAACCTCTGCTTAAAAACCTCCAAGGAAGATCTAGATGTGTCTCTGCCAGTTTGCGTTTCAGTGGTCGTGGAAGGTGCCTCATCTCACACCTTCCAGCCCAAATCTTTGGGAAAGTTGATATTTAGCCGCACTACAATTGCCGGCTTGCCTCACACATCTCTAGCTTAGCAGTTATGACTGGCTTCTTTCCAAGCGGAACGGCTTCTAGCCTGCTGGCAGAGAAACCTGGCTCTCCCCACCCCCTCCTTGGTTTACAGACCTGGCTTGTACTGTCTGCTCCTTGGGTCAATAAGAGAGCTGGGGTGTAACTTCTCTGCAAGCGAGTTTTTTCCTTTTAGACCGTGCAGTCGTGATTTATTTCCATCCCAAAGCCTCCTGACAGGTAGCAGCAGATTTCCCAAAAGTCTTCCCTCCCTTCCTGCCCCCCCCACTCCCAATTAAAACTGAGGAGCAGTGGCGTGTATTTTCCTAAAGATGTTAGAACGAGCTGGGTTTACGGGACAAGGGCAGTGCATTCGGGAGCATGGCTGCCCTCTGGCACATGCTGGTCTGAAAATAGTCGGATGTTCCAGATGGTGCTCGTGACTCAACAAAGGGCATCCTGGCCTGGAGGTTTATAATGGAACAGGGACTCAGCAGAAGTCAATAAAGGCAAAACCTGCCTCTCTCCCCATCTCTCTTTCGTGCTTGCTCATATTCCCCACACACACAGTGTCTCTCTCTCTCTCTCTCTCTCTCTCTCTCTCTCTTCCTTTAATGGAGCAAAGCAAAAACTAGCATTGCCCCAATGTTACTCCATTATATCCTGGCATTATTACTGTCAATCAGATTTCTTACCTGCATGAGGTCCCAGGTCGAGTTGTAACCATTTAAAAATATATTAAAACAATTTAAATTAATGTATGCCCCACTTTCCTTGAAAGGAGCTCAGGGTTACATACATCTTTATTTTGACAATTTAGATACCACTTGGATTAAACACAAAACTCTTAAGGGGTTCGCAGCACAGATTAAAACGCCTTAGCTAAACTACAAATACTGTTGTTACTGTTGTTGTTGTAGTAATAACAGTAAGGATGTTCTATGTATACTGTTGTGTTGTTTTGTTATGTTACTGTGAAATCATTTTTGCACTGTTTGCTTTTTGAAATGCATTCGTTTTCTTGTGGTAAGCCACTTTGAACATGACTTTTTGTTTGTATGAGAAATAAAATGAATGAATGAAGGAGGTGAGAGTTAATTTAACTTAACTCAAAGAAAATCTCAGTAACTTAGAAGAGCCACCTTTTTCCTCGCAATGACCCTGTTGGTTAGGTTAGGCTGAAAGGGCGTGACTGGCAGCAAGGTGAACTTTGAGGCAGGGCAAGGATTTGGAACAAGCTGCATATAAGCCCTGGGGCCCTGCTCTCCTGCTGCAACTGGGCCCCAGGATGATTCCTATCCTTGGCAAGCATTGGGGGGCACCCATCTTTTGGACCAGCTGGACTCCCAAATCAAATGTAACTGCTATGAGAAATGCATTGGCATTGAGACGAGGGGAGTTGTGCATCTTTATGTAAACAATCAGCAGGAGAATCATGCGTTCTCTTCCCCATCTGCAAGAGAAGCTGGTTTGCCGCTTGGGAACGTCTGCTCTTCCCAGCGCTCACCTCTTCTTGCCCAAGCAAATAGCCCCCTTCCCCTTGTTCACATTTCACGGGCACAGGTGTGAACTGTGGTTCGCCCCAACCTGGAGTCCCCACTTCAAAAGCACACTTTTTGCTTTCCAGGGAAGCGCTGCTCACAGTCAGAACAGAGCCAAATCATTCTGTTTTCTCAAACGGCTGGGTTTCATTTCTTGTGGGTTATTCTTTCTTTCAGGATTCGCAGGAGAAGGAAGCGGTCATCCCCGAGAGAGCGGAGGAGGCAAAACTCAAAGCCAAATACCCCAGTTTAGGACTCCAGAAACCCGGCGGCTCCGACTTCCTAATGAAAAGACTCCAGAAGGGGGTATGTGTGCCAAGACGGAGAGAATTCAAGTCTGAAAGCTTACAGCGGGGCTGCAAAGGGCCAGAGCAGGGACAGTGGGCTTTTGTGGGAAGCCTCATGATAAAGTCCTCCACATATTTAAACTGTGGAACTCTCTCCCACAGGGGACAGCCATGGCCACCAGCTTGGGTGCCTTTAAAAGGAAATTGAACAGGTGCTTGGAGGATAAGGCTATCAATGGCCATTAGCCACAGTGGCTCTGCTTCCACTCTTTGAAGGCCCATAGCACTTTTGAACGCCAGTTGCTGGAAACCGCAGGAAGGGGAGAGGGTTCTTGTGGTCGGGTCCTGCTTGGAGGCTTCCTATGGGGGCAATGCTGTCCAGGGTTGTAAAGACTGCGGAGAGAATAATTGGGTGCACATTTCCCACCTTGGATCAAATCTATGCTTCCAGGTGCCATGAGAAAGCTGCAGAGATAGTGCAGGATAGTGCGCACCCCGGAAATGATCTCTTTCAGCTTCTGCCTTCTGGAAGAAGGTACAGGGTCATAAAGACTAGGACTAGCCGCCTGAGAAACACTTTCTATCCAAATGCACTTTATGTGGGTATATTGTATTCAGTTATGGGGTATCAGAGTTTTTAGGGGCTGACCATGCTGGGATAGCAGGCTAGTGGGTTTTTGAATGTCTGGGGTAGATTTTTTCAATTTCGTTGTTCTTTATGGGACAATGACAATAAAAATTCTCATATCGTATCGTATCTGGTTGGCTGCTTGAAGAAGAGAATGCTCAACTGGATGGGCGATTGGCCAGGTCCAGCAGAACCTCTTCTTAGGTTTGGCTCAGCGGAGTCCTGAACTCGCGGCACGTTGCTGACTTCTCCTCTTAATAATAAATAATGATAAATTATTTATACCCCGCCTATCTGCCTGGGTTGCCCCAGCCACTCTGGGCGGCTCCCAAGGGAATATTAATAATAGCAATAATAACAATAGCGATAAAAGATCAAACATAAAAAACTTCCCTAAACAGGGCTGCCTTTAGATGTCTTCTAAAAGTCAGATAGTTGTTTATTTCCTTAACATCTGATGGGAGGGCGTTCCACAGGGCAGGCGCCACGACCGAGAAGGCCCTCTGCCTGGTTCCCTGTAATTTTGCTTCTCGCAATGAGGCAACCACCAGAAGGCCCTCAGAGCTGGACCTCTGTGTCTGGGCTGAACGATGGGGGTGGAGACGCTCCTTCAGGTATACAGGACCGAGGCCGTTTAGGGCTTTCAAGGTCAGCACCAACACTTCAAATTGTGCTCGGAAACGTACTGGGAGCCAATGGAGGTCTTTCAGGACCGTGTTATATGGTCTCGGCATCCGCTCCCAGTCACTAGTCTAGCTGCCGCATTCTGGATTAGTTGTAGTTTCCGGGTCACCTTCAAAGGTAGCCCCAGATTCTAAACATGCACATTTGTCTCTCCCGCTTTTCAGCAAAAGTACTTCGACTCCGGGGATTACAACATGGCGAAGGCCAAGATCAAGAACAAGCAGCTGCCAACCGCAGGGACCGACAAGAACTTGGTGACGGGAGACCACATCCCGACGCCGCAAGATCTCCCGCAGAGGAAATCCTCCCTCGTGACCAGCAAGCTGGCAGGGTAACCTGCGCTCCTCCACCTCCTGATGAGTTTTCTTCTTTTTTTTTCCTTTTGGGTTTTTTTTGATTTATTTTTATTATGTATATTTTTTTTTGGTCAGATGGATTGAACTTTGCTGTATCATAAGGCTGGGATAATGCAGGACTCGTTTTAGCCATTGGAAATATTTATACAAATCCCAAACCAGGAGCCTGGCACGTGGACGTGGTTTATTCTTTGCAGTTCTGATCTGATGTCCTTTCCCGCCCCCGCCCTCCGTTCTCTTGATGAGCACTGAAAACAGGTTCTTAAATTTCGCTCGCCCGCCAGGATGAGTTAAGAACCTCACTTTCAAGTGGGGTGGGGGGGTGTCCTGCCGGGCCAAAGCCAGATTTTTCTATAGCTGCTGTTGCTTGTTCCTGCGACGCTGCGGAAGGCCAGTGGAATAGCACCAGCCCCACCTGTGAGTTTCCCCCCGCTGTGAACTCTGAAAGCGAGATCCGGAACTGCCAGTGGCGTTGGAGAAAGCCTAAGAGCAGGATCATAATTAAGAATAACACTAAGCGTTTTTATATAACATGCCCGGGGGCACACAGCCATTGTGGCAACAGCCCTATGAAGGTAGTCCAGGATGCTTGCCCCCACACGGCAGGTGGTGAGCCAGGGCCTTGCGGCCAAGAGAGACAAGCTTGCTTTCGGTCACTTTGGGAGCTCTTTACAGGGGTGAGATTAGAACTGGGGGCTGCTTGAGACAGGGCACAGGTTCTTGAACCTCATCGCTATGCCAGCTCTCGTAAGAAGAGCCCTGCTGGTTTTTAGACCAAGGATTCAGCTAGTTCCGCATGTTGTTTCCCACTGGGGTCTAAAGCATCATGGTATTCTGAGCCCAACACCTGGCACATACAAGGGTGCCATCCCTCCTAGCAGGGGCTGATGGGAATTGTAGTCCAAGACATCCAGAGAGAGCCCCAGGTTGGGGAAAGGCTGGTTCGAACAGGATTTTTTGTTTCAACGTTTTCTAAGCTAAGATAGCAAAAGCTTGATGGGCTTTGGTCCGTGACATTGTGGGTGAGCTAGGCTGCTCAAAGTGTCCACACAGCAGGTTTTGGTGGACGCTGTGTCTCTTTGGCAAACTGAGGAGGGGCAGGAGGCAGGCGTCTTTGCACGGAGCGCCGCCTCCCACCCCAAAGGCCGCCTGAGCCGACTTTTGGGCCCATGTGGCTCCTAAGGGGTAGACGGTCCGTTATCAACTTACAGAGGATCAGGGATGCTGTGTTCGTTTCAAAGCAGGGTTTTGAAAAGCATTTTTGTCAGACCAACTTTAGGCAGGTGTAAAGAATGTGGAGAGTTTTAAGTTTCACACGGCTCTTCAGCAAACAGGCAGGCCGCCACTGTCGCACCGGTCGGCATCTAGCTTTTCCTCGAGGGCCCTTTGACAGAGTGGCCGCGGGTGGCTCAAAGTCCCAACACCCCACTCCCCAAATGGCTGTGTTTCCCTCGTGGATTTTTAAAAAACCACAGCATGAAATTCTGTGCCAATGGAAGCAGAGGGTCGGTTATCTGGATCAGTCGAGGAAATTGTAGGGGCCGCAGAGATGTTTGCTGCTTCTCAGTCCTGATTATTGGGAAGGAGAGATCTCAACTGATCCGGCAGCGCTTGGCTTCTGACATTGCAGCAAAATATATTGCCCTTGTGCTTTTGAGGCTTCAGGACTAGGACCTTGGCTTAGTTTGTAAACGGGTGCTGAAATCCTTGACCTACAGAGTTTCCTTCTCCATCGCTGCCCTCTACCAAACTGCAAGGTATTCTGTTCACGGGGTGTGATGCTGCCTTGTTTGGAAGTGACCTTGATTCCAGTGTTGTTCTTGACAACTTTTAACACTCCCCCCCTCCCAAAAAAAAGCATTTAGAAAATGGACACAAATTCATCCCCAATGCAGTCGGTGAGCATAAATAAAATAACTTTTATGCCTAAGGAAAGCAGGTCGGATTTCTATTTGAGAAACGAGAATTGGTAAGAGAATCATGATCACTGTAATGGAAATCTTTTAGCTTTGAATTCAAGCATCTGGGTATCGGGTGACAAATTTGAGGGTTTTATTGGGCAGTGGCCATTTGGTTCCACAGACATCCATATACCTTGATGCTCAGCGCTGTTTGAACCTCCCAGGGTCTCGTTGTGTGAAAAACCTTTTCCTTAAAAAATATTGAGCTGAGTTCTGCCACTCAGCACCTCCAATCCCTTGACTCCCCCCCCCCCAAAAAAAAACTAATTAGATTTTCAAATTAACAAAATTCAGTGCCTTAAGTGGGATGAGCTACGGCCAAGTTAGCTTGACCTTAAGAGTTGGCTCAGCTTCTGGCGGACTTCGAAATGAAATATCCGTTAGTTGATTTCCCATTGTCGCCCACTCTAAATCTCTGGTTCCCCACCCCTTCAAAAAATTAGGATTTTATTGCCTCTTCGTGTCCAGGACATCCTTTGCCAAATAGGCCTTCCAGATGTGTCAGACTACAAATCGCATCAGCCCCAGCCGGCACAGCCTCATTCATGGAAGTTGTAGTCCAAAACAGCCAGAGGGCAGCAGGTTGAGGACAGCTGGGTCAGGGAAACCAATCCTGTAGCAAGGAGCAAGTTCTTCCTGATGGCTGTCCTTGAGGCTTCTGGAATAATACTGCACACAGCAACAGGCGGAGCTGAACTCCTCCTCTAAAAGAAAAAGAAAAAGCACAAAAGATTAATTTGCTGCTGCTGAAAAGATTTAAAAACAAAATCTAGCATCTTGCCTCTTCCCACCCACCCGTGTGGGTCCTTACAGCCTACAACAGAGTTTGTAATAATTAATTTGGCTCCATTTGTTACAGGGCTGTGAGGGCGAATGAGAAAGTAAAAAATGGCAGCAGGGGGAACCTCGGTCCTAGCTACTGTCCTGGGCTTTGCCTTTCGATGACACCCGAGAAAGTTCTCTGCAGTTTCCATAGAACGAGACCCCCACCTGTTAAATGTTCTGCCTTCTTGAGTTGACAGCTCTTTGGTGGCGCAGTGCTGCGAGAAAAACGCAGCAGATTGTTTGTGTGAAGCCTCCTTCCCCCTGTGACCTCTGGCAATCTCGTCCCGCCTCATCTCTTGGCTTGAGGGATTTCACCAAGCATTCCTTGCTAGTAATGCTGATCCTGTGGTCTTAGAAGGCTAGAAACTTCGGGAAAGCTGGAAGTCCCCGGAAGCCCTGCTCTGCTGCCAACGCCTGAAATCCACGCTGCTCTGCATGTTTGAGCTGTCTGGACCTCTGCTTCACCGCCGAACTGGCAACGAGATCCCAGAACCTCTGCAAGCCTGCATTTAAAAACATTTTTTTACCATGGTGCATCTCCTGGAGAAAACACATCCCACTACCCTTTCTCTGCTCCCAGGAGTTTTCTCCCTGCACTTCTGACACAGGAATGTGCCACTCCCATCTTTTGTCGTCCTCTGCCTCTGTCATTCTGGGCTGAGAAGAGAATTTGGGGCCGTCAGATGGGTTGGAGTAAAGACAATAGGAGGAAGGGGCAATGTAAAAATTAAGATGGATGGCTTCACGTATTATTTTAAAAAATTGAGCTGTGGCCATCCAAGTGTCTCTCTGTCTTGTGTCTTTCCAAGAGGAGCTGGCAGGCCGAGGTGGCAGAGACTGGGCAAAATATCTGATGAATGATCTGACTGGTTGGACCTCCGACTTCCTCTCACTGTCCCGCCAGTTGATGCTTCGGGGTTACAGGCCCAGCGGGGGAAACAAAGCCCACCTTGATTTGAGGGCAGTCGGCACCAGCTCAAAATTGTCACAGTTGTCAGATGAGTGCAGAAAAAGGTGTCATCGCCATGGCTTCGCTGGCTAGAAAGCCTGTGGGGTGTGCCTACCTTGGCACAAGCTGGTCAGTGAGGACGGAGGACTCTCAGGAGTGAGTTAGACTCGTTTCCTCCGTGTTCAGGTATCTGTGTAGCCGCTGCCCCTTCCTTTCTGCTGCCCACTGTGCCCACTCCCTGGGTGGTGGGACTGAAACCGCGGGGCTTTTTAGAGCGGCTTGTGTTTGGCGGTGGGCTGTATTTGGAGGCAGACTCTGTTTCCTTCCCTTCTGCCCTTTCAAAAGACTTCTCCCCTCAAAGTTCGCTTCCGTTTCTCCCAGATGAACTACCCTACAGTAGGGGTGACTTAACACCCTCTTTTGGGGCTCAGGGGCCATTTGAGAGCCGTCGGGGGGCTGCAGGCCAGTGGCGATGGAAGGGCGTGTGGCCAGTACACACCCCAGAGCATCCTTGCAAACGGGCAGCGGTGGTAAATTGAGCTGGGGGCTGGCTGTCCAAATCTGGCTTGTGGGCCATCTCTGGCCTGCAGGCTAACAATTCACCACATGGATATATTTCTAGCCTCCGGTTCCTATACTTTCCCCCCCGCCTCCCAGCCATACTGTAAATAGATGTGAATCATATATATATAAATATATATATATATACATACATATATATATATATATAATTTTTTTACATCATCTTCATCTCTATCTTCTGGTGTTTGCTTTTTTTCTAAAAAAATAAAAATAAAAATAGTCAAAAAGACGCATTCTAAAAAACACGCAAAAAGCGCACCACCCCACATCTGTCGCACATCACTGGCCCGCCTGTCAGCCGTTCCACTGAGGCCTCGGGTGCAGCCAGGATTTTGGAGTTTTGAAGCTGCTGCTTGTAGCGGTGGGGGAGGTGATGGGGAGGGGGGTGTTGGCACCCTCCTTTCGTCCGGGTCCTGTTGGGCAATTGCAGATGACTGTGTTGTTGTTGTTGATGATGTAGAAAGAGGAAGGAAGGGAGAGTTGGGTGCGAAAGAATTAAAGAGAAAATGTGTGGAAATAAAGTAACCCTTGTCTCGACCCGTAGGTTTGAAGTTTGTGCTCTCTTAAAAGTACCTAAAAAGGACTTTGAAATGCCGTCCGGCTCGTGTCGACGTGGACTTTTTGATTCCTGGTTCTCTCCTGCGATGGCTGCAGCATTCGCTTCCATGGCATCCCAAACTTCGTTCTGTTAAGTTACTTAGGTTTCCCTGCTCGCAGTTTTAGGCAGCTAAGTTTCCGACAGGGAGTCTCTCTGGTCCCTACCTGGAGATTGAACTGGGACCTTCTGCTTTGTCCCTGAGCCACAGCTCTTCCTTTAAAGGGGGAGTATTTCTTTATTTGGGACGTGGGTGGCGCTGTGGGTTAAACCACTGAGGCTCTTGGGCTTGCCGATCAGAAGGTCAGAGGTTCGAATCCCCGAGACAGGGTGAGCTCCCGTTGCTCAGTCCCTGGTCCTGCCAACCTAGCAGTTCGAAAGCACGTCAAAGTACAAGTAGATAAATAGGTACCACTCCGGCAGGAAGGTAAACGGCGATTCCGTGCACTGCTCTGGTTTGCCAGAAGCGGCTTAGTCATGCTGGCCACATGACCTGGAAGCTGTACGCCGGCTCCCTCGGCCAATAAAGCGAGATGAGCACGCAACCCCAGAGTCGGTCACGACTGGACCTAATGGTCAGGGGTCCCTTTACCTTTACCTTTTTATTTCCTTTTTAAATTTCTGCACCACCCTTTCTTCAAAGATCACAGGGCAGTTAAAAATTAAAAACGCTAGTCCTCATGTTCTGAAGAAAGCTGTTGACTTAAGATAGGAACATAGGAAGCAGTTGCGGATTGCAGTTGCAATGGATTAGTTATCAGCTCCCTCCTACTGAGTTGGGGGCATTGGTCCATCTAGCTGGTCTACACTGACTGGCAGCAGTGGCCTTCCAGGGTTTTGGCTGGCGGTCTCTCCCAGCCCTATCGGAAGGACATAAGAAGGATCTAAGAAACCTTGGTGGATCAGGCCAAAGGGGACTTGCCGTGTTCTCACCAAGGCCAAATTCCTTTAAGAACCTAGAGATTTAGGTAGACTGCCTCTGGACCTGGAGGTTCCATATGTACAGCAGAAGAGACCCATAGCTGGATCAGGCAAAAGCTAAGGACACCCCCCCCAGCCACTCTAAAGTATGGATTATATTCTAAACCTACCGAATCTTTTTTTTAAAATATCCTAAACGACCACAAATGTAGTCCCTTGTGACATGCCAGTAACAATCGGGCCAACCGTCCGAAGGCCCCTTTCCCCACCAAAATACCGGTTTAAAAATAAGATCCAATAGAACGTCAGATGGGACGGCCGTTGCAGTTCTCCTTTCGGTCGCCAGAGGCTGAAAGAGACTTTCGGATGAAGCCGGATAAATGCGAATCGCTCCCAAATAAGGGAAGGAGAGGCCAGAGTTTTGCCTTGCATTTTCAGAGGTTTAGGTCATTCGCCTCCGGGAAGTGTGGGAAGAAATGATCAGCAAGTGGGGGGGTTAAGCCCAGCAAACCATGGGAACCAACTCCTTAGAATTTCCTGTTTATTTGCAATTTGAGGAGAAGCCGAGGTTTGGAAGCATCTTCAGACTTCTTCAAGTCTGCCTTCTCCCCCTGCCGAAACAAATACACCCCATCAGGCTCTTCACTTGGAAATAAATAAATCAGGATCTCTTTTCGTTGGCCTGTTTTGCTGGTGGTGCAACAGAGAGTCATCAAAGACCAACTGTTGCTTCAAGAACTGAAGTGGGAAACCTCAGACCGAGTGTGCCTCTGCAGGCTCTTCTCTTTGGCCCCTGGACACCCTCCTGGAGTGCTTTTGGCCTGGTCAGAATCCATCCCTGAACTCCAACCGTGGTTGGAAAAGGGGATATGTGAGTGGCTGTAGAAACCTGCCTACTCTACACAGATTACGTTCACAGTTGTTGCTCCCCCCACTTTTCCCTCTGGCCCTGCCCACCTCGGACATGCGGCCCCTGAAAAACTCCCCAGAGGGAAATGTGGCCCTCGGGATGAAAGAGGTTTCCAGTTCTGATCTGGAATTTGGAGGAAGCCTGTGCAGTTTTTGGCTTGACATTTGTTCCTATTTCCAGCGGTCTGGACTCCTAGCAGTCAGCGTGACTGGGCCAGGCGAGCAACCCTCCTTCATCTGTGTTTAAAAATAAACCTCTCCTGTTTGCTTTCAAAGATATAATCGCTGTTTTCTTTTCCCCCAGGTGCATACCTGCACCCTGTGATTAACTTGGGAGTGTGTCATGCAAGGGATAACATCACTTGACTGGTGCAAAAGGGGGAGACTTCAGCGGGGAGGGAGGGAAGGTTTGCTGGTAAAGTTTTGGATCTGAACCACAGGAGACCCCTTCAGAAAGGATCGGTCTTCAGCCAACGGGCCAGAGCTTACTACAGGGCCACTGGTCTGATTTCAGGAGGGTTGCAACAACAGCACTATCAACTCTGCAAAAATAGAGTAGACCCAATGCTGGGTGGGTTGGGAAAAATTGTACCACCCGATGTTCCGATTTATTTATTTTTCATTTCAGTATTTATAAACTCTGCTTTCATATAAATATATTGCCAAACGAGAAGCACAGTTAAAAATGACAAGCCTCAAAAAGAGCTGGCTGGCAAAGTGATCTCTGTGATAATAATCCTTGCACTCTGGCCTGCTATCTAAAAGACGTAGCACAAAAGGAAAAAGTGATGGGGAAATAGGAGGGGAGAGCAAAGCAAAATTGGGCACCAGTTCTTCACTGCAAGGTTCTCGTGACAACGGGCTGGAGTGGAACAAGCTGAAGGAGAGGAAAAAGCTGGAACTTGCTGATCTCTCAGCTGAGCCGATAAGGAAGCCCCACGGTCCCTTTTCTCTCCTCCTGTCGCCTGACGGAATGGCTGCTTCTAGGCCGGCCGGCAAAAGCGGAGCCTGATGGAATCAATCAAAAGTAAATTACATTTTTGTTGAGCCCCGGATGCAGAGACACGCTTGAATTTGGCTTGGGGTAGCAAAGCGTGTCCGCAAAATTCCCAAGCTGCCACTTGTAGTTTCCATTCAGTATCTTAATGCTGTGAAACGAAACAACAACCAAAGTCCCGTGTGATTTCTCAAGCAGAAACTGGTCCAGGGAAACAGACGAAAGCGCTCTTCTTCGATGCAACATTCTTCTTTGGTTCTTCTGGCATGATGCAGTTATGAATGAGTAGGGGCTGCCAACCTTTCCTCCTGTTTTGCCCTTCGCCCACATCGGACCAGCTCCCATCTCCTTTACACCTCACCTGTCCGTCACCAGGCCACCCACAGCTCACCCAAGCCCCTCCCACCATCCCTAAGCTCCACCCCCTTTTAAAGAGGGAGGAGCTTCACAGCAGCTTGCTAAACCGCTGTGTATAGTGCCTCCGCCCTGCGTTCAACAGCTTGCCTGCAGAGGGTGACAACAACTTACATTTTTATGAATACAGGAAGGAATTTCTGTCTGTGCTGGTAAAACAATGCATTTAAAAAATAAAAGTTTAAAACATTAACGCCATCAAAAAAAATATTAAAAAACTGTCACCTTTGCAGCTAATAATTCCAAGGTTGCCATCAAAAGGCCTGAAGTGAGCAGGAATGTTTTTATGTTATTCCTGAAAGTCAATAAAGAGGGAGGGTGTTCCGCAAGGAGGGAGCAGCCACCGAAAAGGTCCTGCCACGTGGCTTTTTTCGGGCTGCCCCAAGATGCAGAGGAATTCCACTCGGTGCTTGAAAAATTCACCCTAAAAACTGCGTATGTCAATTTCCGCCTGTGAGGCTTAAATCTGTGGTGAAAGTGTTTATTTGAATGACGTTGCTCTTCCGCCACAGAACCCTCACAAAGCTGCCTACAGAAAAATTGGTTGCTGGGTGTTTTTATAGCCATTGTGTCATGAAAACAGTAATTTTTAAATGGTTTGGTTAATCCTAATATAGCTCTACCAAAAACAAGCAGCACAGTCAAAATGTACCCAAATTGACCCAGAAAGCCCCGTGGGTCAGGTTTCATCAGATTTTGAATAATTCCAGCGTAGTCTCCGAAGGAGAAAACTCAGAAGCTATTACCATAGGTGAGGGGAAACGATAATAGAGGCAGAACATGGCCAGTCAGATGGAGTATTATTATTATTTATTATTATTTTTATTATTATTATTATTTATTATTAGCTCCTAGCCTTTGATAGCCACCTCCTCCTCCATGATTTTGTCTAATCTGCTCCATGCTGAGAATCATGAGGCCCAGATTATTTTTAAGGGACAGCACTCTCCACGCAGAAGCTTCCACCTTCAATATCTGGCCTCTCCTCTTCACTGCAATGTGAAACCTTGGCAAGATGCTGCCAGCCAGTGTACACAGCACTGAGTCAGTGGCACCAAGGGTCTGGCTCACTACAAGGCGGCTTCCTGAGTTCCTCTTGGAACCAGCCCTTTATATCAGAGCCATGGGGATGTGGTCATTTGCTTTTGTTTTATTGGAAGGGCCCTAACTTGGGGCAAAGCATTGGCTTTGCCTGCAGAAAGTCCCTGTTTCAGACCCCACTGGCATTTCCTGGTAGGGCTGGGAGAGGCTCCCTGCTTGAAACCCCCAGAGAGCTGCTGCCAGCCAGTGCAGACAGTACTAAGCTAGATGGAGCAATGGTAAAAACCAGCTTCCTCTGTTCTGTGAATCGCGCCGTCTGTTTCTACCACAAGATCAGGTCTTGGGAGTCTTCGAATTCTGCAAGATTCTGCTTTTGGCATTGGGAGGCAGCCAGGGGACAGGAAAGGCACTGGTTGCAAATTCCCTCTTTATTGTCCCAGGAAAAGGAAACTGATTTCTCTGATCTGCTGACTCCTAATCCCAAAATAACTTGATTGCGATGCATTGTCCAAAGTCAGGCGCTTTTGGCTCCAGGCTCTTGTCCGTAAATCACAGCGCAAAAAGCAACACTGAGTCAACTCTCAGATTAAGCAGAAAAATGACTTAATATTATTATTATTAAGGTTCTCATTTGATAAAACTTTCATAACTTTCTATAGTCATCCTTTTTATATACTTCATAAAAGTAAAGGTAAAGGGACCCCTGACCGTTAGGTCCAGTCATGACCGACTCTGGGGTTGCGGCGCTCATCTTGCTTTATTGGCCGAGGGAGCCAGCGTACAGCTTCTGGGTCATGTGGCCAGCATGACTAAGCCGCTTCTGGCAAACCAGAGCAGTGCACGGAAACGCCGCTTACCTTCCCGCCGGAGTGGTACCTATTTATCTACTTGCACTTTGAATTGCTTTTGAGCTGCTAGGTTGGCAGGAGCAGGGACCGAGCAACAGGAGCTCACCCCGTCACGGGGATTCGAACCACCGACCTTCTGATCGGCAAGCCCAAGAGGCTCTGTGGTTTAACCCACAGCGCCACCCACGTCACCACCCCACTTATCACTGAATGCATATTCCTCGATTACATCACGCATTTCATCTAACCTATATTCCTCTATTTCATATATATTATTTCTTCAGCAGAAAAATAACTTGACGCCCCTGAAAAGCCTCAAGCCCACCTTTGTAGAATAATACTGCGTATAAAAAGCAAAAACAAACCAATCGGGTTCAAAAATCCTATTGGGTTAATTTTTAATAGATGCAAGAAAAAAAGAAATTGCAAGTAAATATCTCAAAAAGGCAAACGGAGGCAAATACCTGAAGCCCTCCTGAAGCAAATACATGAAGCAATTTACGCAAATGTTGCTGTCTGTCTAAAAAAGCGGGGGAGAGGCGCATTTGGAATACTGTGGATGGTTCTGGGCACCTCGCCTCAAAAAGGATATGGAAAAGGTTCAGAAAAGAGCGGCCAAAACGATCAAGGGGATGGAACGACTCCTCTACAAAGGAAGGTTGCAGTGTTCGGGACTTGTCAGTTTGGAGAAAAGGCAAGTAAGAAGAGCATGATGGTAGTTTATAAAATAATGCAGGGGGTGAAGAACGTGGGCGTCCCTCTCTCGTGGCCGTGCAATGAAGCCAAATGGTGGAAGATTCGAGACAGAGAGATCCTAACCTGTGAGGTAGGTCAGGCTGCATGGTGGTGACTGGCCCAAGGTCACCCAGAGATCTTCATGACCAGTAGGAATTTGAACCCTGGTCTCCCAGGTACAGTCATACCTCGGGTTACAGCCACTTCAGGTTGCGGTTTTTCGGGTTACGCACCTGCTGAACCCGGAAGTACCGGAATGGTTACTTCCGGGTTTCGGCGGTCGCGCATGCGCAGAAGCGCTAAATCACACTTTGCGCAGGCGCAGAAGCGCCGAATCGCAACCCGCACATGCGCAAAAGCACCACTGCGGGTTGCAAACACTGTAGGTTGCGAACTTGCATCCCACACGGATCATGTTCGCAACCCGAGCGTCCACTGCACTAACCACTATGCCACACTGTCATGGTTGGGAAACTTTAGGTTCTTCGAAGGCCAGGTATGTCGCGTGTGTGTTTCATTTTCACTTCCTTGTTTTCCTTTCTATTTCCCACACACACACACACACACACACACACACACACAGTACTTTCCCATCTATAAGACGCCCCCATGTATAAGACCCCCCCCCAAAAAATAATTGGGAACTTGGTTTTAAAAAAATGAGGGGAGATGGCCCAAAGTTTTTGAGCTTTCCCCCTGCTCCAGCAGCGGGCAGAAAACACTCCCTAGATTATTTCCTGCGCACAACGGCATTGGGGGAAGTTGCGCTCCTGCCAACCGGCTGGCTGGTGGGGGCGCCGCTTCTCCCCCCCTCCATGCCACTATCCGTGTATTGGACGACCCCAGTTTTTCGACACTATTTTTGAGTCAAAAAACCTCTAATACACGGAAAAATATGGTACATTACAGAACTGGGTAATTTCATGAAAACGTCAGCCTACAGATTCATTTTTCATTTCAGAGTTAACATGCTCTGTTATCATTTTAAAGATGATTTCCCAGAGTTTCATTACCAGGTACTGTAGCAGGTTCTTTTTCTTCTTCCCAAAACGGCATGTTATGTCAGTATGGAATTACCCAAATTTTGGATGAAAATGTTTTTTTTTAAAAAAACTTAACTTAAAACGTGTCCTTGACCTGTGATTGTGCCTCTTGCTTGTCCTTACAAAGGTAAGACTCACCTGCTTGGCCCCGCCTACTTTTGCCTCTGGCCCCGCCTATACCATAGGAGGTTACCCAGGGAGGGAATTTGACCCTGTGGCGAAGGAAGGGGGCATGTCAAGGACTGCGTCAAATGAGCCTGGCCCAAAGCACCAGGTCAGTGTTTTCTGCAGTCAGGTGTTGTTCCGCATTCAAGGTTA